CCGCCAAAAGTTTGGTAGTCACAATATTGGTGACATTAGTTGCCACATGAGAAATTGTTTGGGCTAGTTCAGTTAAGGGAGAAGTGATGTTGCCGCTGGCTGGTTGAAGAGGGGATATCGTGGAGGAGATGCCAGGTGAGCCAACGAAGGTGGTGCCCGCATATGTAGATGCCGAGAATGGTGGCGGCTCAAGCGAAACAGGTGGAACCGAGGTAGGGGCCGACCATGGGAATATCGGTGGGAGATTCTGAAACAAGGAGTATGGCATCGTAGCTCGGCTTGGTGACGCAAAATTAGGGGAGAAGGTCACGCCGGAAGAGACAGAGGTGATTGCCGGCCGCGTTCCGAAGGAGAATGGAACGCCGGTGGATGCCATGTTGCCGGCTTCGACGGACGATGCGATGGGATGAGACATCGTGGTCGAGCAAGGCGCTGCGGAATCTGAGGATGCCGGAGTAGTCATCGTGGCCGAGAGATAGTGATGGACCGAGAATTGAAGGCGGCGGCTGTAGAGAGAAAGCCAGGCGGCGCCGAAAAAAAAACTAGGTTTTTTATCTGTGCTCTTGATACCATGTGAGAATAATGGAACCGGATACTCTCTATAGAGCCCTGGCAGATATATTTATATTAGTAGGAATTTAATGTAAAGTACAAGAGTAGTCCTATTATAATTCTATTAAGTAGGATACGAACAGTATTGAGCTTAGCTACAGGAGCAAAGGTCTCTTGATAGTCAATCCCATACGTCTGAGTGTATCCTTTAGCCACAAGACGAGCTTTGTACCGCTCAAGAGATCCATCAGCATTGTATTTGACAGTAAATATCCACCTGCAACCAACAACATGCCTCCCAGGAGGTTTAGTCACAATATCCCAAGTATGGTTCTTTTCAAGAGCTCTAATTTCCTCTTGCATAGCATCCCTCCATTCTTTCTTTCCTAATGCCTCAGAAACAGAGTTGGGTATGGGAATTTCATTAAGTCTCTGAACAAACAAGGCATGTGAAGGAGAGAAATTATCAATGGTAACAAAATTAGCAAGAGGGTATAGAGGTGTTTTGGTACATTGACGTACACCCTTGCGTAAAGCAATTGGCGGAGATGGTGGAGGAGAAGAAGAGACATTACCTGGGTCAGCCGATTGGTCATGCGTCAACAACGGAGTGAACCTATTTTTTCTTGAGTACACTTTTGTCACTGGTAGAGGAGAAGGTGGGTCATGAGTGGTGGATTTAGTAGGTGTAGGAATGGGATATTCTGGTGATGGATTTGATTGAGGTTCAGGTAATGTTGAAGACTGTTGGGAAGTAGATGAGGTTGCTGACTCATCTATAGAAGGTGATGGATGATCATGTGGCAGTGGTAATAATGGGATGTCTGGTGATAAAGGCTTAGGAGAGTAGGAGATTGTATGTGCTGGAGGAGATGTGGGAAGAGGTGAAGGATGTGGAGTATCTTGGGAAACAGGGAGAGAAGTAGGAGTGTGAAAAGGTGTGTCTTCGTGAAAGGTCACATCTGCACTGGTGTATGTCTTTCTGGTTGTAGGATTATAGCACTTATATCCTTTCTGAGTTGGAGAATAACCTAGAAAGATACACTTAATAGATCGTGGGTCCAATTTTCCCCTATGAGGTGGAGGAATATGAACAAATGCAGTACACCCAAACACCCTTAGATCAAGATCAGAAGAAATTCTGGTTTGAGGAAAGAAGCAACAGAGAGATTCAAGGGGTGACTTATTTTGGAGTACACGACTGGGAATTTTATTGATGAGATGACATGCTGTGAGTGTGGCTTCCCCCCAGTAGTGTTTAGGCATATTTGATTGAAACAATAAAGCCCGACTGACTTCAAGGAGATGGCGATTTTTTCTTTCTGCTATGCCATTCTGTTGTGGTGTGTATGGACAAGAGGACTCATGAACGATGCCTTTTGAGAGAAAATAAGAGGAAACAGTTTGATTGAAGTATTCAAGAGCATTATCAGTGCGGAAACGTTTTATAGTGGTGGAGAACTGATTATGAATCATATTGCAAAAGATGGGAATGATGGAACTCACCTCACTCTTGTTTTTTAGCAGAAAAACCCACATAAAACGTGTACAATCATCAATAAATGTAACATACCACCGGGCACCAGATATATTAGCAATTGGAGCAGGGCCCCAGACATCACTATGTATAATATCAAAAGGAGAACAACTGATTGTATTACTTCTAGAAAAAGATACACGAGACTGTTTAGCAAGTTCACAGACATCACATTGAAATGTAGAAACATCAACACTACCAAAAAGACTAGGAAATATGGTTTTTAGGACATGAAAAGAGGGATGACCAAGCCGCTTGTGGTGAAGCCAAATAGTGTTGGTATTGGCTGTGATTGAGGTAAGAGCTTTTTGTGGAGGTTTGGAGACAAACAGTGCATCAAGGTAGTACAGGCCATCTCTTTGTTTAGCAATTCCAATCGTCCTCCCCGTGCGTAGATCCTGTAAAAAACAGTGGGAAGGAAAAAAAATGGCAGCACAATTAAGATCATCAGTGAGTTTGTAAATAGAAGCAAGGTTCATAGCCAGGTTTGGGACATGTAGGGTGTTTTTCAGATTTAATTTTTCAGAAAAAACAACCGTACCAAGTCCTGCAACCTCTGTAGGTGTCCCATCAGCAGTAGTAATGTGTGTGGATGTAAAACATGGACGATAGTTAGAGAGTAAAGAGGGTATGGCAGTCATATGAGATGTGGCACCTGAGTCTAAGATCCATTGGGATTGTGAACTCTGTTCCGAAGCATTAAGACAAAAAATAGTAGAGGTTTTACCTTGCAGGGCCAAAGAGCTATGACCAGAACCATTTGAGTTATTAAGAGACTGTAGCATCATACGAAGTTGTTGTAATTCCTCCTGGGAAATGGGCAAAAGATTAGTAGAGCTCTCAACAATCGTGGGAGTGACTGAGTTGGCACGTCCAGCACTAGTTCCACGCCTGTCCTGGCCTTTTCTTTCTTTCTGTAGATGAGGATATAGTTTCCAGCATGTATCCATATTATGGTTGGACCGCTTGCAATGATCACACCATCTTCCTCCCTTACTACCCTTAGTTTCCTTGACATCTGAAGGAGTAGATTTGGCAGCAAGAGCTGTACTGTCAATCAGCTTTGTATTCATCATTATATTGCGTCTACTCTCTTCATGTTTGATAGTGGCAATGGCAGAAGATAGGGAAGGCAGAGGAGTAATGCCAAGAATTTGACCCCGAGTCTGATCATATTCGGGATTTAAACCAGACAAGAAGCAATATAGACGTTGCTGATTTATATAGCTCTGGTGAAGAGCTGCATCTGCAGCATTCGACCACTTCATTGTTTGATACTGGTCAAGTTCAGACCATCGTCGTTGGAGGTCAGTTGCATAATCTGTGACAGATTGTGAATCTTGCTTAAGGTTCGTTGTTTGGAGCCATAAGTCATAGACAAAAGCGCCATCTTTAGCAACGGAGTAGGACTGCTGTATGAAATCCCAGATTTCTTTAGCCGAGTCCATGTATAAACATGTACTGCTAATGTTGGGATCCATAGAGTCCCATAACCAGACCCGTATGTTGGCATTAGTTTTCTCCCAAATAGCAGCATCAATATCTCCTTCTTCTGGGGTAGAGACAGTGAGATAGTCTTCAAGATCTTTGCCACGCAAGAGAGTATAAACCAGCTTTGACCATCCAAGATAGTTCCTGCCATTGAGACGGTAAGATGGCGGGATAGAAGGGAGATCAAATTTCTGGTTTCGAAGAGCAAACGCGGCTGCAGTAGCAGCTGAAACGATGGTTGAGTGGTCGAGGTTACTTGAGGTTGATTCAGTTTCCTTAGACATGATAGAACCGTTGGTGAAGAGATTCGCACCCGAGGATAAACAGATAGGCGGGTAGAGACACCCTAGTAGACTGTTGGAAAGATGATTAAGAGTAAAGAGGCTGGTACGAGATCGTTCTCTGATACCATGAAGTTTTCTGCATATTCTTCTTCTTCAATGAATCATTTACAAGAAGTACATAAGCTATTTATACAGATAGGAGCCTGAGAGAGTCTATTCAGTACCCTAGGTGACTGTCTGAATACTAAACATAAATGATTATGAACTGAAAAGACAACAGCTATTAATTACAACCTGAAACTCTAAAGACTCATAATTACAGTAATAAAATCTTAAATTAAAGATGTCTCTTCGTTTTATCAACAAATACTTCAAACTATTACACAATCTTAATAAACATCATAAGAGAAACTCAACATTTATTAAGACATAAGACACTAGCAAAAAAAATATTAAACGGCATCATAGCCAAAAGTTAAGTCACAAAACTCAATCTTAAAACTTCAAAACATAATTAATAAACTGTTATATAAAAATTGTTTATAATAAAAACTATCTTATATATTTGTTAAATAAAAACAAATTTTTAGGTAGCTTAATCAGCATGATCTAGAACAGACCGACAGGGTACTAACTCTACAATTTCAAGGTAACAAAATATAAAATAATACATACTTAATTAATAAATTATCACACGCATAAGAGAACAAACAGCGGAAGAGAGAGAAAAATACTTCCCTGCGAGTCCTGGCCTGCGACGCAAGACAGCAGCGGAAGAAAAGGGAGTTGTGATAAAGCAAACGCAGAAGGAAGAAACAGGACACGGATGCCGGAACTAGGAAGCAAAGCCAACACAGAAGGAAAAAGGGAGAAGCCTAGAGAGACTGAATCGCCAAGACAGTTCCATGAGGCGTGAGAAGCGCGCGCCTCTCAGACGCGCAAAAGGCGTCAAAAAGCGCCATATAAGGTGCGCCTCTTGGAACCTACGCCGCCTGGGGGTGTAAGATGCGATTAATTGATCGCCTTATGGCGCCTCGCGCCTTTAAAATAAGATCATTAAGACATCGGAAACAGTGCATAATAAAATACAAGAATATACAAGGATTTGATGATCATTCAGTAGTGCATTTAGATACCTTTGTCAGGAATCCATGGCTAAATATCATCTTAGGAAGGTCAAACCCAGCTGACATCAGCATAGCTGGCCAATAAACCGCATGAAAGCGCAATATATCCTGTGGGGCAATTACGTAAAATTTTCAAAAAGAAATCATAAAAAATGCCACCAACAGTATGCAAACAATGAACTGTAGCAGCTATTTTCCAGATAAACTTTGTCCTTTCCGGCTTTTGTAGTAAAATTGCAATTAGTTTACAATAGAATAACAAGCTAGCTAGACCACTAGGCATTTTTTATTTTTAGAACTATTACACCTCTGATTGATCATAGGGAGGGAATCCTTCTTTTCCAAGTAATTTGATAGGACTCTCGCAGGTATGTATGAATACAGAGAATAAAAATATTATTCAAGAAACAAACTCAAGCTTTCATTAATGGAGGGGAGGAAGAAAGTACATTGAGTTCCCAAAGAAAAGAGACAATGTATCTCTAATCTTCCCAGTCCCAACTAACTGTCTAACAGCCTCCCTATCCCCTTCCCAGACTAGTTATTTATATCTTCTCAGCTAATAACCGACAGCTAGCTAATAGCTAATAACAGAAAGTGCCACCTCAATAAGGGATAATTAATAAAAATACCCCAAACTTTGAAGGGGTGTGAGGTAAACAGTGTAATTTAAATACCCTTAACTTTAAATAAAAAGTTATTTTTGCACCATTGGCATGTATTATTTCTTTCAAAAATGTAAATTTATGGGATTAATTGTATAATTTAAAATAGAAAATTAAAAGTGTTGCAATTATATAGATAGGGGATAACATTATCTATTTTCTAATAGAATTTAGAATGTTAATTGCGTCTTCATGAATTTTAAAATATTTTAAATTATGCAATTAACACCATAAATTTACATTTTTGAAAGAACTAATTCTTGACTCATTTCATTTTCATTTACCCCAGTGCCGCAAAGGCTCCAACCTACGGTGAGGTAAGGGGTGGTCGGATGTACGCAGTCTTACCCCTGTACTAAAGCACTAAAGCACAGAGAGACTGTTTCCGGATGACCCATTTTGAAAATTGCGTCCAAAATTGCATGGACTGACTGTTGCTTCATAACAAAGAAGCGCAGACAGTTTAGTGAGCCATTTTGCTTTATTCCATCATGTTCTCAAGCCAAAAAATAATGAATCTTTGGCTCCATTGCAAATGATGGAAATAATTCTTGACTATGATGCTAAAATAACTTTTTATATAAAGTTTGGGGTATTTAAATTACATGTGCAAGTTTGGGGTATTCATCTCACACCCCTTCAAAGTGTTGGGTATTTTATTTATTTTTCCCCCTCAATAACTATAAACTAACTATTATTCCTTCCTCTTCTAGAATAAACTTTGCCAAGGTACTTATCATCATTATTATTTACAGCCGCATCCATAAGCACCTCCTTTTTCCTTCATGATTAATTCTGGTATCCTTCACTTCTTAGGAAAGAAAGAATGGAGGGATGCTATGCAAGAGGAAATTAGAGCTCTTCAAAAGAACCATACTTGGGATATTGTGACTAAACCTCCTGGAAGACATGTTGTTGGTTGCAGGTGGATCTTTATTGTTAAATACAATGTTGATGGATCTCTTGAGCGATATAAAGCTTACCTTGTGGCTAAAGGATACACTCAGACATATGGGATTGACTATCAAGAAACCTTTGTTCCAAGGATACACTCAGACATATGGGATTGACTATCAAGAAACCTTTGCTCCTGTAGCCAAGCTCAACAATGTCCATATCCTATTATCCTTGGCATCTCACTTTGATTGGCCTTCGTTGCAATTTGATGTCAAGAATGATTTCCTCCATGGTGAGTTGCGAGATTTACATGCACATTCCCCATGCTCCAATAAAGCTTCAATAGGCACCTCTACACATGTATGTCGACTAAAAAAAGCCCTATATGGTCTCAAGCAATCCCCCCATGCTTGGTTTGACCGCTTCACCCAAGTTGTCATGGCTGCTGGTTATAGTCAAAGTCAGGGCGACCATACTCTTTTTTACAAACACTCTTGCACAAGTGGAGTCACTACTCTTTTAGTATACGTGGATGATATAATTCTGATCTGTAATGATCCAGTTGAGAAACAACATCTTGAGAATAAGCTAAAGTCCAAATTTGAGATGAAGTCTCTTGGCTCTCTAAAATACTTTCTTGAAATTGAAGTTGCCCGCTCATGTGAAGGTATCTTTATCAGTCAACAAAAGTACATTACAGATTTGTTGAATGAAACTGGTAAGAGTGCTTGTCGACCGGTTACTACACCTATTGATCACAATCATAAGCTTAGTCTTGCTACTGATGAGCCCAAGGTTGATTCAACAATGTATCAACGTGTATGTGGAGAACTTATCTATCTATCTCATACCAGACCTGACATTGCTTATGCAGTTAGTGTCCTAAGGCAGTTCATGAATGACCCGGGGAAATCGCATCTCGAAGCAGCCTATAGGGTTCTACACTACTTAAAAGGAAGTCCATGACAAGGAATAGTGTTCGGGAGGGGGGGGGAGTTATCAATCCAAGCCTTCACTGATGCAGATTATGGAGGATCTCTCGTTGACCATCAATCAACTACTGGTTTATGTGTTTTCCTTGCCGGAAATCTTGTGACATGGAGAAGCAAAAAACAGAATGTTGTGGCACGATCATCTGCTGAATCTTAGCTAAGAGCACTTGCCCATGGCCTGGGTGAGCTTCTATGGATCAGAATTATTCTCTCTAATTTACAAATAAGATGGAAGGGACCTATGGAGTTGAGGTGTGATAACAAATCAACAATTAGCAGAGCTCGTAATCCCGTCCAACATGATCGGACCAAGCATATTGAGATTGATCGGCATTTCATTAAAGAAAAGGTTGAAGGAGGTCTGGTTGAACTAAGCCACATTCCCTCAGAAGATCAAGTTGCAGATGTGTTTACCAAACCTCTTCACAGTCCTAGGTTCCAGAGTCTTATTGTCAAGCTAGGCATGAAGGATATCTACAAACCTAACTTGAGGGGGGGTGTTGATGCATCTGTTGAGAAACAGAAGAGTTTTTTCTGTAATAATGAGTATTTAGTGAGTCTTTAATGCATGTTCAGATTGTAAATTAATACTTGTCTAATCAGTTTATATTCATTTATTTTTCAGTATCCGGACAGTCACCACTTAGGGTACTGAACAGACACTTCTTAGGATTAGTTTTCTATAAATATGCAATTGTACTTCATGTAAAAGAGAGTTCTGTCAATAATAAAATTCAGAAAACTTCAGTATCCTTACCCTGGGATTTAGGTAGCGCCCCTATAAAGTCCATGCAAATGTCAGTCCAAATTTGACTAGAAATAGGCAAGGGATGTAATAGTCCTGCTGGTTTAAGGGCTTGATACTTATTCCTTTGGCAGGCATCACACCCTTGAACATAGCTCTTGATGTTTGATCTCATCCCAGACCAGTAGAACAGATTTGAGATCCTTTTCATGGTTCTCCTTTAGAATTGTATCTATTCTCTTGGAACCCTTAGGTAACACCAATCACGAAATTTGTCTAAACATGATCTTCTGAATTATCTCACACTTTCTAGGATCCTTTTCCAATTCCACTTCAAGTCCTTCCCATTCCTGACATGTTACTATGACAATGACGGGAAATGAGGCTTCCTTGAGAGAGCATCTGCAACCTTATTCTCAATACCTGGTTTGTATTTCATAGTGAAGTTGTAGCCCAGTAACTTTGATATCCATTTTTGTTGTTCTTCCCCCATAATCTTCTGTTCAGTTAAGTATTTCAGACTTCTCTGCTCAGTATGAACCTCAAACTTTATCCCCAATAAGTAGGGTCTCCATTTTTGGATGGCCAGTACAATTGCCTGATATACTGACTTGTTCTGGTTTTTTATTGACAACTCCTTGCTCATATAAGCATATACGTCTGCCTTCTTGCATTAATCCAGCTCCCAATCCTGTCCAAGAAGCATCAGTTTCCAAAATGAACATCTTGTTAAAATCAGGATTTATGAGAACCGGTAAAGTAGTCATTGCCTTTTTTAGCTCCTCAAATGCCTGATTGGCTTTATGGTCCCAATGGATGTTATCTTTCTTTAGAAGTTGTGTAAGAGGAGCTTGTTATTCCACTGTATACTCTTACAAATCATTTATAGTACCAAGCCCAAAAATCCTCTCAACCCATTCTGATCTATAGGTCCAGCCCATTTCACCACGGCATCAATTTTGCTAGGGTCTGCACATACCCCTTTTTCAGAGATTACGTGACCCAAATAGGTTAGTTTATCCTGACCAAAAGAGCATTTTTTCCATTAGCCACCAACTGATTCTCTTTTAATGCTTGTAAAACCTTCCTCAAATGCTGATTTGTGTCAAGCATTAATAAGCGACCTAAAATATACTCCCTCTGTCCCATTTTATAAGATATCTTTACTATTCACTCGGTCAGCACAAATCGCTCTTAATCTCTCACTTTATATATAAAAATTTATGAAATTTGAATTGTTTTTTGCAGGTTTTGTAGCAGTTTTATTGTAGTTTCTGAATATGTAATATTTTTTTTCTAAAAATAATTTGAATGCAGACAGGGATTCGTTTGCTTTATCGTCGGTCAAACATCGTAAACCGAAAAGTATCTTATAATTCGGGACGGAGGGAGTAGAATGTATCGATATAGGAGCTGAATAATTGAAAGCTATCCATCTAAGAGCTAAAATATCATAGATTTTGATTTATTTAAATTTGTTTATTTACTCTGTTACTAATTTGTGATGATTTTATTTTCATAATTGTTTTACGGTACAAAGTCTATTAGTTTTATAAGATTGAATGATATTTAATTTTTTAAAATAAGAGTAATGAAATTCATGATATTTTATATCTTACGTAGTACTTGTGAGTATTTTCCCTTACCTACTCTCACTAATATTTATTCCCCGATGGAGTAGCTAAGTAGAAAAATAAATATCAATAATAATGACTTATAATTATGATAATAATTTATTTTTTAATTTAAAAATTAATTTTATAAACAATTTTCATTGAATTTAAGAATTATATTACATTTGATTTAACAAATATTAACATAAGGGGGCAAAGAAAGAGAATGATCCAAACTCAAGGGGTACCTAATTGGTTTTTGAAAATGCAAGGTTGCCTTAATAATTATGACATAACCACAGGGGGCTAATAGTAACTATCACATTTTAGATCTGGACTTTGTGTTCTCTTTTACTCTATGGCCCTCTCATTCTTTCTCTTTGGCAAACCGTTCTTTTTTGCTTTTTGTTTTTTCCCCGGTCAGTTGACTCCAGCTACTACAACTTTTCGATCCTTTTTGAACTACGCAGTATTTTGTGAGTGTGATGATTTTGAACTACGCAATATATTATCAACTGAATTTTTTATTACTTCATTAGTATTGACTATTGAATACTTATATTAAATAAAAATTTAATTTTATCAGATTTAATTTATCCAGTTTATGAATTGGCAACAATTGGAATTTGGAATGTTACATTAATTGTTCAATACTCCATATTATTAATATTATATTTCCACTTCATAAATTGTATATTTTTAACGGTACGACTGTAATCAATGGTACAACGTACCGCGTACTGAAATAGCGTACCGAAGAAGTCTACCCCCTCGCGTACCGGATACGCTAGACTTCGCGAATCCCATTCTTGATCCTCGTTCCCATACCGTAGCGTTCCACGAACTATGTGACTATGCTCATGCTTTCATTAATGGAGGAAGAAAGTAAATCGAGTCCCAAAGAAAAGAGACAGTGTATCTCTAATCTGTAACTGTCTAACAGCCTCCCTATCCCCTTCCCAGACTAGTTATTTATATCTTCTCAGCTAACAACCGACAGTTAGCTAATACGGAGTAGCTAATAACAGAAAGTGCCAGCTCATCGAATGGCAAATTCAGTTTTTCTAGTGCCTATGATGTCATAAGGCCAAAAAAGAGTGCTGATAAGAGCTCTATCTTCTATTGGAATAGCAGAACCCCCAAAAAGGTCTCTTTTTTCCTTTGGAAAATGAAAAATCTTTTGCTTCCTTTTGAGGCCCAACTTCGGCAAATTGGTATCTATGGTCCTTTTAAATGCCCTCTTTGCCCAAACGTGGATACCATTGACCACTTTTTCATTTCTTGCAACTTTAGCAAAAAGGTCTGGCAACATTTTGAAACTCTTTTCAACTACAAACCCAGACCCACGTTTTTTATTCAAAATCATATTCTTGGATGGTATAAAGGCTTTAGGGGTTTTGCTGATCTAAACTATGTCCTTCCAAATACGGTTATTTGGAACCTTTGGAAGATTCGGAATAAGGTAATACATGATAACAAACATGCCTTTCGTCCTGAGGTGATAAAGTCTATAAAAACTGATATCTTTGCCATTTCGAATTGCAAACCCTTCACCACAACTCAAAACCACAACCCGTTCAACATTTCCATTACGATGCCCAAAAAGGTTATTGGTAGCTTTGAGCATAACTACTGGAAAAAACCGCCACCTAACTACCATAAGATCAACATTGCAACTCGGCTTCTCACTCCCCAACTTGTTAGGAGTGCAGCCCTTATCCGCAATGCATCCGGCACCTACATGGGCCATATGACCTATATTTCTCTCAATAGAGACACCACTTTAGCTACTTATGATGCCATCATAGAAACTATTCTCAATATCAAGAAGATAAATTTGAATAATTTTATTCTTGAGGTGGATAATAGGGATATCTATGAAGGACTAACAGGTGTGGTTGCACAACATTGGAGGTGCTGGCCTCGGATACAAGAAATCAAGAGAAGGATCAATACCTACAACTGGTCGATTACCCACATTCATCCAAAGATCAATTGCGCAGCAGAGTTTTTAGCTTATGAAAACACTTCTATTAGTACCAAGACTCACCATTTTAATCGCTTTGTTGGTATCTTAAAATTTGATGCTACTAGTTATCCTTATGTATTTTCTTCTGAGTTGGCATTGGTCTGGCCCTCCTACTCTATGTACTTGCTTTCTTTTCAAATAAATTGGTAGGATGTTCCCTGGCCCCTACCCCAAAAAACCATAAACGGTTTTTTGGATCAAACACCGGGTTTCAAAAAAAAAAGAAAAAAGAAAGTGCCAGCTCAATAACTATCATCTAACTATTATTCCTTCCTCTTCTAGAATAAACTCTGCCAAAGTACTTATCATCTTTATTATTTACAGCCGCATCCCTATCATAAGTAAAGAAAGTTTGTTTCAGGCATAACATGAAAATTTTAATTAGAGGCAATGTGAAGTATATATAAATTCCAGATTCATAACTAGGCGTAACACCAATACATTTATTCTATAAGATTAGTTAAACACAGATATCAGACCTTGCCAATTAAGTGTAATGATGCAGGCCACTTTAATGAAACAGCATGGTGTAAGTCAGGCATCTCCTTATCCTCTAAAACAGCAGACATGTAACTGCATGAAACAATAAGGAGAGCATTGAATAAGACGCACAAGGAAAATAACGTAAAACTCAATGAAATAATATGTATTACAGAGCATCATATTTTTCAGTGTTTCACAAGCAGTGTTGACCAGTACCCAACTTCTCTATTGCATAAGCTTTAACATTCCTGAACATCAACAGAAGCTATCTACTAACTAGAATTAACTAATTAAGTTAACCATCGAATGAAAATATATCAAATCACATGTATGCCTTACTAACTACCCAGATATTGCTAAATGCAGACGCATAGAGGATAGCAGACTCTGGCAGATAACATAAAAACTACTATAAAACTATAGCGGATAGCGATGGAGTAAATAGCGGAAACATAACGGAAGGTAAAATATACTACATATGTAACAGTTATATTTAAATATGGCACTAGATGTAAGCAGTAAAGTAATAAAGTAGATTCTGGTAACATTAAAACATATAGCAACTGAGAAATGAACCTAGAATCATAGCACAAAATTAGTCATATTATCATTACCCCAGTGCCGCAAAGGCTCCCACCTATGGTGGGGTAGGGGGGGTCGGATGTACGCAGTCTTACCCCTGTACAGAGAGACTGTTTCTGGATGACCCATAGTGAAAATCGCGTCCAAAATTGCATGGACTGATTGTTGCTTCATAACAAAGAAGAGTAGACAGTTTAGTGACCCATGCTTTATTCCATCATATTCTCAAGCCAAAAAATAATGAATCTTTTGCTCCATTGCAAATGATGGAAAAGTCTACAGAAACTATTAAACCACCAAAAGCCAAAGCTTCCCCACACAGGATCATTGGTGTTTTTGGTCTTTAAAGAAGATTGTGACATGATGGCATGTGGACATGTGGTAATTTCGTTCTCCATAAACTCTGTTAAAAATTGAGAGCTACTAAAAAAAGAGTTAGGGAGTATAGAAGCTAAACATTAGAGGTGTTAAAAGAAGATATATGTTACGGACCTAGCTCATACTAGGCTCATACCAGTGTCATAAGCTCAGGTGTAGAACTCATTCCCAAAAGACCAGCCGATTAGGAGGGGGAACACATCGCTTATAAGCCACCGGTCAATCCCATACTTGACCGGTGTGGGATCGTTACAATACCCCACGCTTCGAAGAGCCAACGTCAACATTGGTAACGGCTATGTTGGTCACGGTTGGCACCCCACAGAGCCCAAGCCACCACTCCATAGGCCACCACTCCGAGTGTCCGGACCAAGAAGAAGGGGATGGCTCTGATACCAATTGTTACGGACCTAACCTATACTAGGCCCATATCAATGCCATAAGTCCAGGTGTAGAACTCACTCCCAAAAGACCAGTCGATTAGGAGGAGGGGACACATTGCTTTTAAGCCACCGGTCAAGCCCATACTTGACCGGTGTGGGATCGTTACAATATACCACACCGAAGGCAATATTTCAGTATAGAACTGCCTGGAATGATTTCAACCCTGACAATTAGATTGGGGCTTGCAGTAGTACTCCAAGTCTTCAGGTTTTTGACATGGGAGATCTGGGGGCATCAAGCAGACTCGATGGGTGGATGGCTCTTTGGCATCAGAACTTCGGAACCACAGAAGATGAATTTGACTTCTTCGTTGAGAGTAAATATTTTCACTTTAAAATTACCAATTGCACTGTTGTTTGCATCTCTGAAACGAAGTATGGAATTACATTTATTGTGAATCTCGAAGCTGTGGGAGTTAATTGGTTAAAGGATTCCATACTCGAGATATTTTGTGATAGTAGGTCTTGTACTAGATTTTAGCTGAATAAATCTCTTGTCATTTTGTATGATGCTAATTCTTTCGGGGGATTTATCCGAATAATTGAGAAGGGGGTGATTCTTATTTATTCCTGAGGGATGGAATGTCCATGGGTTCAACACTTTTCTTGAGGGGATTACACGAGTTATTATGTTGATGAATGCAACCATTTCCAAAAAACTCGCAGTTGAAAAAGATTCAGGTGAGGTCTTTTCAATTACAACGGGTTCCAAAATTGATTTGGACTTTCTACCTTTTAATGAGGATTATGCTCAATCCTATGAAACTACGATTTCCATTTCGGGTGTATTACTTCAGGTCGGTATTGAGCATATTGATTCATTTGATCAGTCTTTGGGTTTGGTTTCAATTGATGATGTTCACAGTATTGATGAATTTGCAAATCTTAAGGATTTCTTTCAGGTTTCTTTGACATATGAGGTGGATTCACTTTCCCAGTTTCTACTTTATGAATTGTAGAAGCTCCTTGCCTCTTCTTTGGATAATTTGACTTTGACACCCGCAAATAAAACAAAAGCTAATAAGAAGAAAACAAGAGTTTAAGAGCTAGGTGATAGTATTAGGAGTAGACATGCTCATCCTGGATGGGATTCTCCAGATTTCAACAGTTTTTTTTACTAAAACTCTATCTTGTGAGGGAGGTTATGATGGTCCGGACTTTACATTTTCAGCGGATGAATTTATTGGACATGTCTCGGAGAACGAGAAGAGGGTCCCCATCTTGACGGATGGCAACCTTTGGGACTCAGATGCTAATGAGGTTATATGCCAAATAGCTTTGTTGGTCACATGACAAAATTGTTTAACCACTCAGAATGTGAACACACAAATGGGAATGTACAAAAAGAAGAATCAAAGGTTAGACTCATAGTCTCATAGAAATTTATCTGTCACTATATATGATATATGTAGTCCTCTAATTTAAAAATTTTAAAATAACCCATCCTCTCCTTTCTCCAACCACACACCAGTATCATCACTTAAGAAATTTGAGCACTTGCCTCACTATAAAGTATACAGGTTCCTTATTCAGTTAATCCTTCTAAAATTACCTTGAATTTTCACGTAGTAAGACTGTAAGAGCAAAACTGCCTAAACATATAAGCCTGGCTTGTCAGATAGTCAGATGGCACGTGACGTGGATTTAATACACTAAACCCCCTTGTGAAATATAAATTCAGCGCATTAGCTCCTGTGATGTAATAAAAAAATGCATCAAACCCCCTGGTGTTATAGTTATTCATGCGCAAAATCCCCTCTGTGAACAAATTTAATTGCCAAATAAATGAAAGTGATTAGTATTTTTGTATAATTTAAAAATCTTAACAATCATATGATTAAGACAAGTGATTTCGAAATTATACAATTTGTTCTTAGAGGGGATTTTGCGCATGATTAATTATAACATAAGGGGGTTTGACGCATTCATTAAATCACAAGGGGCTAATGCGGCGAACTTATATACCATGGGGGGTTTTGTGCATTAAACCCCACGTGAAGTAGATCATTTAGCTATCTGACTCTTTTTATGTCTTCAAAGATCCAATAAAAAAGTACCCAAACAAATATTCACATGTTGTCGTGTTGATAAATCTTATAGTCACGAGTCATCCTGTGAGAAAATATAAGAAAATACAACAAAGGAAATAAACATCTAAAATTATTTGTAGTACCAGAAAAGAAAATTACTCACCCCAACAAAGCATCAAACCAGACATATATGGTCTGCTTAGGATCATTAGGAACTGCAATACCCCAATCCACTGATGCTCGTGAGATGGAAAAATCTTTGAGGCCACTTTTAATCCAACCTTGCACCTAAAGATATTCTACATCAGTTTTAACTTGTACGAAGTATATGGTTGGAGGGGTCCAAGAGGGTAGAGAGCATTATCACTTTATACACCCGAAGGGGCATCTTTAAGCAAGTTAAGTCCAATTGTTTTGCTGCTCTATTCAAATGTAAAAAATGATAGGGTATAACTAATTCTTTTAGAGGATAAAAAGATCAAGGACCAACAAGATAAATTAGTTCTTATATGTAAATTATTATAACACCAATAACCAATTACCTCATAACTTAGGGACAATTTATAGGAGTAACAACAGACTGATGGGCTCATTAAACCCAAACAAGTGATATAAAAAACTTCTGCTTCTGAGGAAGTAATTGCATAAAAGGAAAAATATGATGCACGGACAATATGGACGGAACTAACCTTATTAGTACTACTATTATTACTAGTTAAATTCTATTACTATTAATAATATTACTATAGAAAAAAAAGAGATGTTTACTTCTTAGTTCTTACCTCATTTAGTCGGAAATATGGCAGAACAAAATCAGGGCTTTGCTGTAACTTTTCTTCCAGTTGCTTCTGGTACTTTGACAGGGCAAAGAAGTAATTATCTTCCTTTTTTCTAATGCATGGCTTTAAGTGCACTGGGCAGCAGTCATTTTCTAGCAATTCCTTCTCATCCTAAAATGAAAAGTATGAAAACAATGTTACACACCACTAGGAGGCAGTATTATGAATCTTACATTCATGCAATACATATAAATAAGAGATTGATGAAAGAAACAACCATATTTGTAAAAAAAAAAAGTTGCCATCTGGATGCTGGAAAGTATTCGCTTGTCATAATAATACTATATTAGTCCACTATTTACTCAAGCCGATAAATCTAAATTTAGAGAAGGGTGTGGGCAAACAGTAAGTGTTCATTGGGCTCAAACTTTGTTTTCAAACGCAGCCTATAGAGAGGGAAAGAGTTACAAGTTAGCCTATTCCATTTTTATAGAATATGTTTTAAAATAATGTTACCATCAGCTACAGAAAATTGACCTGCATGCAAATTAGAGTTAGTAAATGTTCTTTAGAGGCACAGTCGATCATTTTCCGACAAGAAGATGAATATCAGAATATGAACAAACATCATTTTTCCAGACTAAAAACTTGCCCATAAACTAAAAGTACTTTAAGCCCAACTGATTTTACTATAACCTGAAAGTGTGTCAATAATGAGCAAGCGAATTGTAAAAAGTGCATCAGGAATCCACAGTTTGCGTCGTGACTTAAGAGTGCAATTAGTTCACAAGTACACAGAATATAGGAAGTCCATTAACATAATGAAAGAAAGGTACTTTAGCAAATACAACGTTGCACCTTGTACTCCTCACAATTGACACAATAAATTCCTTCATAATCAGCTCTGTAAATGTCTCCCTTGGAAAAAATCTTTGAGTAAAATTCCTTAACTACAGCTTCATGCTTTGGATCAGTTGTTCTGACAAACTTGTCATAACTAACTTCTAACTGAAACAATCAAGTTAAAAAGTGGGCAACCGTGCTGGAAATCAAAACAAAAGTACAAATCCAATTAAAAAAACTCTACTTGGAAAATTATACATCTCTCCAGAGAGCCTTGTACGCTTGTGAAACAATATCACAGTGTTCACTTGCAGTCCAACCACGAGCAGCCGCGGCAGTAGCAATTTTTTCCCCATGTTCGTCAGTTCCAGTAACGAAGATTACCTTCTTCCCCAGAAGCCTCTACAAATTTATTCAAATCATCCAAGTAATACGCCTAGAAACTAGGCAGGCACAGGAAAAAACAAATATAAAATCTCAAAGTTTTTTTATGCATTTGCAAAATAAATAGAGAGTGCGACCTGAAAACGGGCAATGGCGTCGGCCGCGATAGTAGTGTATGCACTACCCATGTGAGGAGGGGCGTTCACGTAATAAAGCGGAGTGGTGAGTAAAAAAGTATCCGAGCTTCTGCCGCCATCGTTGGCGTTACAAGTACTATAGAGAGCTCCACCATATCGTCTGGGATTCCAGCATTGATAGGTTTGGCGGACCAAAATTCGACTTCGGAAATAATTCTTCCGGAAATTGATGGAATTGGAGAAAGGGTGTGACAATGGGGGCGAAGATGAAAAGAACCAGAGGCCATTTGGTATCGACAGTTGAGCTTTACAAGCCATTGTCGTGATTTGCGACACCAGATAAGCTTCTACGTCTAAAATAAGATGGTTTACATAGCAGGTATGAAATGAGAAAAGATCTGGTGCAATGAGAGAGATAAACACAAAAAATTGAATTTATGACATTTCTCTCTCATTTTTTCCAGGGTTTTATTGTTTTTGGTAAGTTTTTCTCTGCAATGTCAAACACAATGTCTACATCTAGACATTGTGTTTGACATTGTGAAGAAAAACTTACCAAAATGATACAAGATCTTTCAAATAAGGAGAGAGATATTCTATTTATTATTTTTTTAATTGGTTATCTCTCATGCCACGTATGCACCGTTCACGTTTTAGCATGGGATGCTTTGAGAAGTGATTCCAATCATCCCATTAATTCCTTGAACTGTTCGACTACATCAATAAAGCCGTATCATTAATGGCATATTTGTAAATGAGGGCAGTTCATATACATAGTTTCTGAAGAGCAGGCCCGTGCGGACAAGCTCATCAGAGGGTCTTCCCTGTGGAATTTTTTGATGAAATTTTTTTAGCATGTTCCTAGTCAAGTCTAGTTTGTCCATACCAAATTTCAGCTCAAAATTCGATCGGGAAGGCAGTCAAATAAATCCTGGAAAACTATGGCTCATTCTGCGTACATATAAAGTGCAGTATGTTTCCAGGATTTATTTGACTGCCTTCCCGATCGAATTTTGAGCTGAAATTTGGTATGGACAAACTAGACTTGATGAGGAACATGCTCAAAAAATTTCATCAAAAAATTCCACCGGGAAGACCCTCTGATGGTCTTGTCCGCACGGAGCTTCTCTTCAGGAGCTCCTGATAGGAACGGGACTCTTTGTAAATTTCCTAAGCTGTATAACTTTTTGTAAAGGGCCGGATTCTCTGTCTGTCTCTCCCTCGAACTCTCTTTCAATTCTTCGACAATTCCATGGTTGAGCAGTTTCGTGGATCAAGTTTATCAAGATTATTCCAGCACCGTACAAGAGGAAAGAGCAAGTTATGGTGACCGACAACTGCCCATCGAAGACTGATCGAAGGTCTGAATCATCTTCTTTTTTCCTAATCTAATCTACTAAACTCTTCCCTCATTTGCTATGGTATATGCATTGCGATTGAATTTTACCTAGAATTTGGTTTTGAATCCTAAATTATGATATAATCTATTCCGATTGAATTATCTTTCTACAAACAGTTTTGCTCGTTACTTTTTTTCTTTCTTATTTTTTTCATAACTCAATCAAAACTATACATTTGCCTATCAAGTGTTTGCTAGAATGTTTAAACTCTAATGGAATTCATTTGAGCCTAGAGTGTAATTTTATGAATAACGAATGAAACTCATTAACTACTTTTTTATTTAAACTTTCCCTATTCAGGTACACTCTTGCCCTCTTAAATTTACATTTTATTAAAATTTAAAGTCCTAAACTTTGGACCAGAGTTTTCAAAAAAAGTTATGTCTTTTGATTTAATAGTTAAAGTAATTTGAGTAAAAGTGTTTTAGTTGACAAAGAACCTCAAATTCCAATCACTAATTATAGTAACTTGTATTGATGTAGGAAACCCAAAAATTGATTTAGGAACTCAGATCAAGAGCCCTCAAATTGAATAATACTAGAGGTGCATTAGTTGTTTTGGAATTTTTTTTCTCTCCTGGGGTTTTGCACATTGTGTTTTTAATCGAGTATTGCATGATATTGCATCAACACCCCTTTATGCTCTATTAGCTGAAGTTGTAATTATGTATAATCATTTTATTACTGGATTTTCTTGGTCATAATGTTTATTACTTTTCAGTATAATGGATCAAGTTGATGATGTTGATGTGAACTCAACTCCATGCTTGATCACTTCCTTTTCTTCTAAGCAATGGATTTTAGCTTGCCCTCCTGCTTGTAAACATGTTGTTGGTATGTCTTTCTCTTGTTGTAGTCATAGCGGTTTGACAGCTAGATTTATTTTTAAGTAATTTTGACCCTGCCTCATATAGTCATAATGAGATATGAAGTATTTGCTTATTAAGTAATTTGTTGTTGTTTGTTGTTGATGGTGCAATGTGCAAGTAGTCGGAATCGGTTTTTAGTTGATTTGATTAATCTGAAGAATTTCTTTTGTAGTTAGAGTTGTTAGAGTACAAGTGTCCTAAAAAAAATTATTGCAGCTCAACCAACATGTTCTAGTGTGTGGATTATGTTTTTGTCTTTGTTTATAGATGAGAACAGCATTGAGCAAGTCAAAGAGTTTGAGAAGATCGCTAAAAATGAAGCCGTTAATTATAGTGAATGTAAAGCTTAAAAGAAGATGCAAAAATGAGAAGCTGAAATGGAGAACAATGCCCAATGGTTTTCAGAACATAGCAGACATGTTCAATGTATTAGTCAAGTATAGCACTTTCCATTTATGTTGTCAAAATTTTGACTACAACGAGAACACAATCATACTAACCTTGTATTATGAGAATATAATACGTAGTATTAAGTTTTACTTCAGTTTCATGGCTCATATTTTATTTTTTTTACAAGAACATATATTACATAAACATACATTCACACTTACAACTAACTGATGCCTAAAATCCTCAAAGAAAAGGAAAAATTAGATTACATTTAATGATACAGATTGGAAGTAATGGGGGTTAGAGTTCCTATCAAGGCCTCCAAAATAGAAATAATGGCCCCAGTCATCATTCCTGCCTGTCTGGACATCATAGCAGTTTGACTGCTCAATGAAAGTGTCAATGCCTTTGGGTGACTTGAGGTTGTTTGAACTGTCAACTATTTGGATGTTCCGAAAATACCACACCTTCCCGAATCCTTCTTCTGGGAAATGGCCGCTGCCCATTTGGGTCGAGGTGTGCAAGCAGTCAGGCTGCGTGTTCTCCACCTCCCCACCCCATTCGATCATGCTCGCACTGTCAGCCAAGTATGAGAATAAGAAGGATGGCCCAGTTTCATGGCTCATATTTTGGTGTGATATGATACTCATTTATAAGTAACTTACAATGAATATTTTACTCTAAGAAACATTACTTTTATTTGAACTTTGAGTGTTTTAATGTACAAACAGTCTGTGTACGTGACTTTTCAGCATATATCTTGATGCCCCATATCTTCATACAATTGTATGATACTTTGTACCTATTGAGATACTGGAGTTTCCATCATTTTAAAACTTTATAATGGTTACCTTATAATTAATATGTCGTATAAAGTAACTAGATTTCAATTAGAAGTTGTAGTTTTCAAATCGGGGTCCACCTTGTCAGTATGGTGATAGATCTCTGCTTCCCCTTGCACTACTCTTTCTTGAATATCATTGGCCATTATGGGGTTACCTCGGTCAACTTACCCCTACTACCCATATGTTCATCGTCGAGTTCATAGACCAGGGTCCTTGTCTGCGCATCCGGCCTACTTTAGATCTGTTCCTGCACTTCTTCCATTCTGTGATGGCCACCACCTTTGAAACTGATGGATATTTTTCATGTTCTCAACGGGTTGGCCACTGCCTGTTCGAAGTGGAAGTTGCTTGAGGTGAAGGCCATGGAGCCACAGAGGTGGTGGATATGGTCATATGGAGGGGCAACGAAAATAAAAATTGCAAAAGAAAAATGTAAATGAATGTTTTCCCCACAAAACTTTTCAAAAAGGGAAATGAGCAAGCAGCTTCGGCGCCGCAATCTACGTACACCCTTTCTCGTCTGGGCGGATGCTTGCCGATCGCTGATGCTCGCCGGTCTCTACTCGTTTTCTCCCTTTCATCCGACTTCATAATTAATGTTACAACGGCCATTGTCCCTCTTGTTATGGTTTTAGTTCTTCCACCGATCTAATAGATTGGGCGGTTCTTTGATTCGGGGTTTTCTCCTGCTACAAGTTTTTTGGTGCGAACAAGAAACAGATACATCAATAGTGGAAGGATGACATCATCGAGTAAAGGTCATGGGTGAAGCTTGAGGTTAAAAGCTGGAATAGGTCTGGATTCAAGGTCATATGTGATTGGTGGCGAAAGTGAAGGCTTGACAAAGAACGTGATTAATAAGAGGCAGAGTGAGGAAGAAGCTACAGTATTGCCGGCTTGTCCTAGCCTCCTCCCAAAACATGATTGGAAGTGGTGCTCTGGAAGGAGCAAGAGTTTTATTTTATTATCTTTTTTTCTTTTTAATTTCTTTGATCATACTGTTTGCTTTACCTTTTGTTTTGTTTTTTTGTAAGACCGTGGATTTGGATATTGGTGATGAAAGGATTGCGGTAACTGTCTTTGGCTCAATTGCGCCCAACAAGTTATATTGCTTCTGTTGAGGTGATAAACTCTGAGTCTGGTTCGAGAGTTGGCGGTTGTTAGATATCTTTTTGTCAGTTTCCCTACTATCTGAATGATTTGTTATCAATTTAAGCTTATTTTTTCCAAAAAAAAAAAGAGAAATAAGAAAATAGAAGTATGGAGTAATTTTAAAAACCAATAGAAGTATGAACCGAATCATGTAGTCTTGATTTGATTTCGGGTGGAGCTAGGGGTACACACTTTTTGTACACTTTTTGTGTACAAAAGTGTGTACCCCAACCTTTTTCTTGATTTCGTAATTAAGAATGGGTGCCTGGGCGGACAATTTCAACAGAATTTTTTGCAAGAAAGAGAATTCAAAGTCAAGGAGCCAACAGTATAGCTGACCATACCCAACCTCCTTGAACAATGCAGACA